AAATAAAATGATTGGCAAGAAACGTACAAAGAAAATGCACTTGATTGTCCTAGGGTTTTTCGTTGTAATTTTTTATGAACATTACCGTCATATGGGAAGCAGCTCAATTGCAAACAAACTATGTTAATCTTACTTTGAATGTTGTTGGGGTCACTTTTTTAGAGAAGGCTCGGTCGGTTGGACTTGTGCGGAAGAATGTGAAGTAAGTTTTCATGTCCTCCATTTTTTGAGTTGTTGAGAACTAGGCCTAAAACATCTTGAAAGAAAAAAGTAATTTCCTGGGAATGCTGTGTAAAATAGATGACTAAATGATTTCCAAATTGTTAACATTTTAAAATTCACATATGGCTAGAATCTAACCTAAAACCTCTCACTTACAAGTGAAGATGAATATTACTAGACCATAGTACTAAGTTACGGCACAATTAGATTTTTAAAGTACCAATAACAGTTCTCTCGTTTTAATGTCTTCCATGTTGGTCCTTTTAATCAAAATTCAATAAATTGGTGTCAATGGGGATCCTTAATTTTAATTCACGTGATCTTTTTAATTAGAAATTTAGAATGCGTCTAGTCATCTGCATTTAGGGAAGAAACACGTGAACTAAATCTAAAGTTGGCTGCACATTATAATTAACCCTAAAAAATAATTGTTTCTTTTTGGTTTTTGGTTTGAGAGTTGAGATTAAATCATGTACTATTAATTAAACATAAACTTAATTATGCACTCATTTACGTCTGGTAACTTTTTTTTTATTACAAACTATACTCTACGGTAATCTACTATACAAAGAGGAGGGAGAGAATTTGGACTCGGAACGTAGTAAGTTGAAAAGAAATATCATACTCACCAAGACAATCTGCTACTTACAACATTCTTATTTTGTATATTTATGATTTAACACCGTGTCTAAATCATCTTGTTAACAATTTAATAGCATAACATATTAAATTGTCTAACACGAGAAGAATGTACGCTTATTTGACTTTGTTCTTATTTGATCTACTGACATTTGAACTAGTTCTTCCCTCTGTGAGCTTTCTATATTCGTTTATCAAAAACCAAGATCGGATCATTTTGCAACTTTCGAATATTGTTTTATATTCCGGTCTCTTTCAGGCCAGCTTGTTGACTAATAATTAAATATGCTCTGCATAATATTGTAAATTAACAAAGACTTAAATGCTTTTTTTTTTTTTTGCAAAAAAATAAAATAAAATAATGTTAAAAATAAAATAAAATAACTCAAATGGATTTAAAACAATTTCATCACCACATGCACCCTCGTTGCCACCAGTTCCACCCTCACCAGTGCCACCATCCTCATTACTGCCACTCTCACTATCTTAAAATTTATATTACAAAAAACATTAATACTAACCACGAATAGTATTATTATTTCAATTATTTGTACCATACGTTTCTATTATTGCCTTTCTAAAAAATTGTTCTTGGATTAAACCACCACAAGCATTTCTCTGATTGTAAAAATGCAAAATTCTATTTGTTGTTTTTGTTTGACAAAATAATTCTTCAAAAATCGTTTTGTGAAATATTATCAGACGGACTCTAAGCTAGCCATATTTATCTTCGTACATTTTTGTTCTACTTTCTCCAAATCTATTTTTATCTTACAGTGTAGTTTGATGATTGGAATGACCTATTTTTTAAGACATACGACTTTGAAGATTGTATATGAAATAATTAACTTGGAAATTATTTAGCCATTTTCATGATTTGTGGGCAAAACTCAAGAATCTACTGGCGGGCTGCAATTGAAATTCGCAGTAAAGAAGTAAAATTGAGGTGAATGCAAAGAAGGTGACATATCTGTGTGTAGGCTTACCTAGGGAAGAAACGGCGTCGTCCGCTCTGGGTGTGTGTGGGATCGAATTGGAATTTGGAAGTGGAGTGGCCATCTACTTAATCTTGTCTGGTTTTACGTGATGATTGATAGCAATAGAGAATTTGAAAAACGCTTTGCGATGGAGTCCAGCGGTGTTGAGTCGAGTCACGTTTTCTTTCTTGTTTGGATGTGTCAGTTTGTCCCTTGGAGTTTTTGACCTTTTTCCCGCATTCACTTCACCACATAAATTTACGTGCATGCTCCGCAATTTTATGCTCTACTCTTCAACTCATCCAATCCATTACTTTAATTACCCGTTTACTAATGCATAATCAGATAAGTGAAATTAGACGGAGAAAGAATTAAATAGAGAAGAAAATAAAATCTAAATTTTCATTAAATGACTTGTTTGGAAGTGTTTTTAAACAGACTGAAAGCGTTTTTGGTGAAATTGTTTTTTGAGTTCCAAAAGCACTTGAAGTGCTTTCTGCAAGAAAGAAGCACATAACTGGTAGTTCTTACAGGAAGCACTTCACGTTCTTTTTCAGGATTCACTTATATTTTTACTCATAATTGGTTCCAAAAGGCATTCAGTCATTTTAAAAACACTTTCAAACAAGTCCAAAGTTGTTTACTAAAGTTTTCTGAAATTAGAATAGAAATGATATTATTTTTTGCTTGAGGAGTCTCAATTTTGATTATTATATACTAGTCTCTCTACACGCGCTTATGCAAGCAAGAGAGACATTTTTTAACACAGGCTCTGCTTGCCCCTGAATATGTGTCACGGGAGTGCAAAATGTTTTTTTTTTTTAATCACACGCTTTACGCTCGACTTATAAATTATTATTGTGAGTTATCAATGCTGATCGTTTTATCTGTAGTAATCAAACGGACCCTAAATATTTATAAGTTTTGAATATGTTTTTTTTACTAAAGTGCATCCAAGGCATCGTCCCGAGTCTTAATTAATTTGAAATTTTATAATGTTTTACTTTGATAGCTTACAACATAGTATAACTGAAGAGAAAGCAGCCATGGATTTCTGACGTCTTGGCCTCCAAATCGAATGGAAAGGTAGCCAATATCTGCAACAAAATCATGCTTTAGGTCGCGGCGAGGGCTTTGCTTTTCACCAAGAAATTTTCCAGAGCTCAACTGATTCTTTGCAATCCTTCTTGTTCGTAAATCTACAAAGAAAGTAAGAAACACAGCCATAACCATATAAGTGCCTATTACGATAACAACTAACAAACACTAAAAACCTAATATAAACAAAAATTTAACCAAGAAAGGAAATGAAATTAAAAAAATAAAATATTTTAACACAAATTGAATGATTTTTGAGAATATAGGTGCGTCTGGTAAGTTTGTAGAACACATCAATTATCTATTTTCTCTCTTTTGGTATTTCATTGCTGCAGAAATTTATTATTTAATTTAAAATATGGTGTTTGTTTATTTATTTTATAACTGATTAAACAGTTTTCATTTTAACATACAGTTTAAAGAGATAACCCCTAACATGATGTTGTATGGGATAAACAATTACAGTCATCAAGCCGCATTGCATTATGAAAATAAAATGATTGAAAAGAAATGTACAAAGAAAAGGTAGCTAACATTCTCTTGAAAGAGACGAGAAAAAGTATCATAGGAGGAGAATTTGGAAGAAGAAGCACCTACACTTGAGCTAGTACTCCTAAGCATCTCCAATAATACTAGTTAAATTTTTGTTATTGTAGCTAGCCAAACAATTGGAATGTTAATTTGGCTAGTCAGCACTTCCAAAAATACTAATTATTTTAGCTTAAATTTAATATATATATATATATATATATATATATATATATATATATAAACTTAACAATTTCTTGAATCTCACAAACAATGCGATTATATTTTTTTTAATGTTTAACAAAAATTTAACTTCCCCTCTTAGCTAAATATAGCTAGTTACTATTTACAAAGTTAAGATAACAAGTCATTTAGCTAGCTCGTTAGAGTTTTATTTTTCAACAGTTTTATTAAAGTAGTAAAAACAAAGCCTCATTTAACTGATGGAGATGCTCCATCTAAGCCATGCTTAGATTTGAGTTCATCATCACTTTTTTTTTTTTGGGTCCCTTTTTCAATTCAATCTTTCTCCCAAAACTGCTCCATCAAGAGTTTATCTATTTCTCTATATCTTAATATAGGCCGACAACCAACATGCACTTGATTGTCCTGGGGTTTTTCGTTGTAATATTCTCTTTGCTATAAAAAAAATAAAAAAACATGCACTTGATTTTGATGAACATTACCGACATATGGGCAGCAGCTCAATTGCACCAATTGCAATTGCAAACGAACTATGTTGAGTTCTTACTTTGAATGTTGTTTGAGTAAACTTTGTTAGACTTTTGTCGAAGAAGGCGAAGTAGGTTTTCATGTCCTCCATTTTTTGAGTTGTTGGGAGCTAGGCCCAAAACATCTTAAAAGAAAAAAGCAGGTCCTAGAGAATGCTGTGTTCTTCTTCTAAACAACCAGTATTTGACCTTCATGAGGGTTTCTAGCAGCTTTGTAAATAGTTGGAGATGACGAGTTGATGCTGAAAAGGCTTGGTATGAGAACTTGAGGTGTAAGTGTTAAAAACTCACAAGCGTAGCAAATGAGAGTGCGCGAGCTGATTATGCTTGAGAACTTAAAAGGTTAGGTTAAGGCTATGCAAGAAAATCTTGAGGTTATGCTTGTGGTTATGGGTTGCAAGGAAAGTGATAGAGATTTTAGGAAGAGAGAAGATTATGAAGACATAAATTAACCACATAAAATGGAAAAAGGACATGTGGACTTTTCGTTCAACATGACGAATTACTCTTGACATCTTAAGTAGACCACACCGGACTTAAGGGCTAAGCATATATCTTGGGCCTTCGGGCTCATACACATATCAAGGCGTCATTCGGGCTCATGATATTCCACTCTTGCCATGGTACCTTTCCCAGCTCAAGGAGAAAGAGAGAGATGTCCAATGCCATAATCCATCCAACCCAAGAAATGGAGCCCAATCCAACGAGAGCCCAAAAGAATACGTAGGCATGTCCAAACGGTTGCCGTCACGAAGGCTTCATGACCTTCCTACCAAAAGTCTCTTGAATGCTCCTCTCATCTTTCTATAAATACCCTCCTCTCCCCTCCCCCTTTCCCCTTCCTCCTCCGTTTCAAGATCTTTCCATCTCAGCTTCACCCCAAACAAGAGACAACCATACAATAACGCCGAAGGAGTGAAAATCTCTCATCCTTCCAATTTTCTCACCTCCCAAACACCATTTTCCCGATAAGATTACTGTGTAATTATTTATACCTAAAAATGTCCGATGCCTATTGCTCCGACTGCAAGCGCCAGACGGAGGTCGTGTTCGACCACTCGGCGGGTGATACCGTGTGCTCCGAGTGCGGTCTAGTGCTCGAGTCTCATTCCATTGATGAGACCTCGGAGTGGCGTACCTTCGCCAACGAGTCGGGCGATAACGACCCGGTCCGTGTTGGTGGGCCTACCAATCCCCTGTTGGCCGATGGCGGGCTGTCCACCGTCATAGCCAAGCCCAATGGGGCTTCTGGTGAGTTCTTGTCTTCGTCCTTGGGTCGGTGGCAGAACCGTGGGTCTAATCCGGATCGGGGCTTGATAATGGCGTTCAAAACCATCGCTACCATGTCCGATAGGTATGTGATTGGTTGCTGAAATACTGGGGAAATTGATTCTGGATTAGATTTTGGGTTGTTTGAGGGTTGAGGTCGGATCGGAATGATTACGACGACGACGATGACGACGACTTGAAAGGAAATTGAAAATGAATGAAAATGTTTAGTTGAGGGCTGAACAATCAAGTAGTGTGAGTTTGTTGAAATTAATATGATAAGGTTAGGGGTATTGTCGAATTGAGTTTAAATAAAATATGAAAAATTGATTTGTTAAGTTATATTTTTCATCATTTAGCTGACTGAATATAGGATTGATTTTATTCTTGTTAAAAACAAATTAACAAATTGATGCGAACCTGTCTTGATAGAGGTTTCTTATGATGATCATGCTACTTATTTCATGAATCCGCATCCATAGAAATATATGAGGACATGCAAACATCCTTCTTGAGCTTAGTCTAAATGTAGAGGCTCATATATTCTCATGCTCAATTTGTAAAGATACTTCTAGTAGAACTTGCTAATCAGCTATTTGGTAGGTCTAGGACTTGGCACCTATACAATGCTAATCCAGCGAAAAAAATAAGTTCGATAGTCCCCCAGCTTGAATGATCATTTGTGACTAATAAAAGAGTAAGAATGTTCAGATATCACTATTTTGACACTCATTAGTGAGTGGTTTTTGTTTTACCTTTTCCTATGTTTAATGCCTGCTTCTTTCCTTCCGTGAGATTTGGTGATATGGAGATGGTATCAGAAGCTTAATATTTTCCTGTTATACTAAGTTTCTTTAAAAATGAGACTATTTTTAAACTTGTAACAAAGAAAAATAGCTGATGTGGTGAAATTGTGTTTCAGGTTGGGCCTTGTTGCAACCATCAAGGTATGCTATTTGCGTACTACTAAATGTTTTTATTACGGGGACTACTATTAGTTCTAGTACACTTCTATGTCTACAAACTCATGGATAAAGTACATGTAAATTAAGAAGCTCCTTCCATTATTTAATTTTGTGATCATTGATATAAATGAATTCGGTCTGTTATAAAATACTTAAATAAATGCCAGCATAAATTTAGTCATGAATACTTGTTGAAGTATGTTGTTCAAGGTATTCATTGACAAATGGTGGAAATATTTCTCTGGAAAAATTCCTAGTAGCAGGAAGTCGGTGCGGCTTCGACATATGCAAAAGCACCATTATCTTTATTTTTTCCATAACTATCATTAATGAGTTGATTTGCTAAACAGTAATGGCTAATCCTTAACCTATGTAAGATTTTAGAAGTTCAACAGGATGCTTTTTGATGCAGAAGCATTTGTTTCAAGCTTTGCTATTACGTCTTTTTAATTGAAACCAAGCCTTGAATGGTGTTGGTTGTTATAGGCTATTGGTTAGTGGTATATGGATGAAATGGTGGACAGTCAGTAGATCATTTACTTTTAAATGGTTTGGTGTCTTGTGGTTTAGGGATACTGGGTTTATCCTTCTCGGTGCTGATTGATGAATCTTAATTTTGTTAGCTAGTTGGAGTACAAAATAGGTTTGGTTGCTTCTGCAGATGTTCCATCTTGCTTTGATATGGTACATTTGGTTGGAGATAAAATGTTAGGCTTTCGTGGGAAAGATAAAAGTCAAGTGGGGAAGGGTTCCCTCGAGACTTTGTTGTTGTTGTGTGTGTGTGAGCATGCAAGCAAGCGATTGAGTGCATTTTCTTCACATCAGAGCTAAACTTGTATATCAATAAAAGTTCTTAATACAAAATGTCTGTGCTGATTTTTATCAAGTTGCTTATTGTTTGGGCAAAATTTTGGAAAAACCTTCAATATTTGAAATGTCAATATTTGAAATGTTTTTGTTGAAAGTAGTGTTAAGAACTTTTTTAGTTGTATTACTTTTAGTTGGTTGTAGAAGGCTATGATTGTACCTTCAGTGGACTATTTTTTCATTGATGTTGCGTTATTTTATTTAATTCACATTGATAAAATTCTTATGTTACCTTCTTTGAAAATTGATTAAAGGGGCCTATAGACTAAGATTCTGAGCCTGATGTTTCAACCCTATAAATCTTTCCTCTTGCTTGATATTTAAAGTTATTCTTGTACTACCCTGGCTATGCAAATTAATGTGGCTATTACGGTGTTAAGGAAAAGAAACAGACATCATCTAATTATATTTGTCCCTGGTCAATTTCTGACTAAAACAGGACTACCTCTGCTAAAATTGTAGCTTGTCTATAATTTACTGAGTGTATTTTTTAAGATGTTTGGCTTTTTTTTTTATTTTATTTTTATTCAGCCAAGCCCGCTTAGTGGGATAAGGCTTTGTTGTTGTTGTTGTTTGTTTTGGTCTATTTCTTTTCTTGCACAACTATTCTCTCTTATTGTTTGAGCATGCATGGGAATAGGGTATTATAACTAATGGTACTTTTATGATTGGTTTAAAGGATCGGGCTAATGAGATATATAAGAGGGTTGAAGATCAGAAATCTAGTAGGGGAAGAAATCAGGATGCGCTATTGGCTGCTTGCCTGTACATTGCTTGTCGACAAGAAGACAAGCCACGCACTGTAAAGGGTACAACTTTTGATTTTTTTAACATCTGGATGCTTCCTGAATTATCTTTGCCTTTGTGTATGAGCTTCCCTGAACCTGTGGATTTCAAATAGAAATTTGTTCTGTCGCCAATGGAGCCACAAAGAAGGAAATTGGCCGAGCAAAAGAATACATAGTGAAACAACTGGGATTGGAGAATGGTCAGTCGGTGGAGATGGGAACAATACATGCTGGGGACTTTATGGTGAGAAGCTTTTCGTTTTCATTTTAATTCTGATTTGAAGCAAAAAGAAATCATTAAATTACCTTAAGCTGGGCAACAAATCATACATAGCACATTTTCCTAGTTTGTTGCTGCCACTGACATAATATCTACTTAATTTCAGAGGCGATTTTGTTCCAATCTGGGTATGATTAATCAAGCAGTCAAGGCTGCTCATGAAGCTGTGACAAAGTCCGAAGAATTTGATATAAGGTAGTGTTCCTTTTCAATACATTATGCAGTTATCAGTTTACCGAAAATATGTGTTTCCCCTATGAACTTTCCAACACCTAAGAAGAGTTCCAGAAATATGGTAAAACAAAGGAGAACTAACTTGGATCAAAATAGCTGATTGAAATAGTTTGGGTTTTAGCATTTCATTGTGAAGGTCAATGACAAGGCATCATAAAGGATTGGTTGGCAACCTGTAAACAGGTCGGTTTTATTGGGTTTGGGTCGGGTTTCACCCGATCCATTAAGTTAACGGGTCATCCGAACCTAAACGGATCATCCGAACCCAACCCGTTAAGCTCATTGATCACCTGTTTCACCCGTTAACACCCATTAACAATTTTTTTTTATTTTTTTGTTTAATTTTGCATTCCAATTCAAATTAAAAAACCATCCATTTCAAAAATACAACACGCAATGCCAATATGCAAAACCAATGGAATCAATCCATTTTGACAGTTACCTCCATTATCCATCCTTTTCGCCGTTTGACAGAGGCGTGCCATGACCTTCTTCTTCAAGTCTGAGACAGAGAAGCACTTAAAGGAAGGATCCTGATCCGGCAAGCCAGAGGATGAGTTGTCGCTGTAGGAGGAGAGAAGCTTGATTCGCTCTTGAGAAAGCGGCTGAGACGAAGTGTCAGAGCCACCGGAGGAGTAGGAAGAGTCGTTTGTTACCATTTTGAGCCCGGGATGTAGTCTTGGAGCATATCAGCGACCTCCTTGAAGTGGCAGAGATAGGCTTCGAGTTTGAGGGCTTCTTATTATAACTATTGAAATTACACAAAAGCCCTCAATAACGGGTGTTAACGGGTTGACCCAAAATGACCCGTTATTTAACGGGTTGACACGTTAACAACCCGACCCGTTAAATACTCACCTGAATACTAATTTTAACGGGTTAGGTCGGGTGTAAAATGCCAGGTCTAGTTGGCATATGGTGAAGGATTCTATAGGGGGTCAAATAGAATCATTAAATAGAAATGATCTCCACTTTGACCACTGAAACCCTAAGTGACTTACAGAGTGGCAAATCTCTTTTCAAGTGTTAGGGCATGTTTTGGTTGAGCTTGGCAAATATGTTATAAGGTTAATATAAAGTTTATCATCTGATTCCTTACATGAGATAGAATAGTTACAAATCGCATTTCGTTGGTGCCTTTTGAAGAAGTTTGCATATGAATTCTGCTGCCTTATATTATTTCTTGTTGTGAACTAAATTCATTGATCTTATTATATGCCCTTCGTATGTAAGGTGTGAAGATTCTTTGTTTTAAGATTGGTGCGTTCACTTATGCCAATCTCCAACAGTTGCTTGTAATGATGGTGGTTTCTTTTTGTCTAAATTTCAGGCGGAGCCCTATATCGATAGCAGCAGCAGTTATTTATATTATCACCCAGCTTTCAGACGATAAGAAGCCTCTCAAAGGTTTGAATCCTCTTACCTCTTAGAAACTAGGAATTAGCGTTTGAGAATTGGGGTTGAAAGCTTGGGTTCGCTATGGAGACAAAAAACTTGATGTGTTTAACATCATTCATTTCTGAATCATTTTTTCTCATGCTACTATCTTATAGCATCCCTTGAAATTTAATTCATTTTGAATAAGAGCTGATTTACGCAATGACAAATATGAGTGCAGATATCTCCGTTGCTACCGGAGTAGCGGAAGGAACAATCAGAAACTCGTACAAAGACCTTTATCCCCATGTGTCAAAGATTATACCGGGCTGGTACGCAACAGAGGATGCTCTCAAGAACCTCTGCAGCCCTTGAAATGTAGACGAAGCGGATTAATTAAAAACACGGAGAAAATTGAATTGAATTGAATTGGAGAGTGTTTTTTCCTTGCGTTGTGTTTAACAGTCGGATGTATGAACGATGCAGAAGGCTTAAATTGTTTTATACAATTGCTTTTCATAGTAAATTATATCATTCAATTGACTGAATTCAGATGTATGCTTGAAGTAGCAGAATGTTTTCCAGTTTTGTTTAATTTATGAATAATAAAAAACCTGTCGACTACCATGACTGCAAGAGTGATAATTTTAAATCCCGCAGCTTTGACCATTTAAACAGTTTAAAAACTGACAGTCGTATTCAATCAGCATTTTAAACGAGTATATAAAGTTTACGGTATTTAATCAGGATTATAAGAGTATAAAAAAGTCTATTTAAATTTGAGACCTATTATTAACATTCCAAAAATCTGAATTTGCAATTTTCACAAGCATATTTTCCTTTCTAAATATAGAAAGTTTGAAGTGCAAATAGAGTGCAAATAGAGTGCCAATAACAATCCTCTAAAATTCCGGTATTCAATTTATAGTTCCAACCAATATCCACGAGATGTAAAAAACGAGTCTATTGAAGTTCATCAAGAATTTGCGTACGGAAGCACTTCTATTGGATGGATCTGGTCTAGACGGAGGGAAAGATCTCCTACAAATTTGTAAGTAGCGTCCGGCGTTGAGTAGAATCATTTTGAGGACCAAATGTATATTAGCTACATTATTATTAGCTCATTGTGAGGCTAAGTCTACCTCCTAATGTAGATAATATTATTATTCAAAATAAAAAATAAAAAATTTTGACAACTTAATAAAGCAAAACTAACTTAAAATCCATGAACCATTAGAAAACTCATGTTCTTCCTTTGCTTTATTAAGTTGTCAACTATTTTAAGCATTTGGATATAAACTAATATAATTTTGTGGCCAATAAGCATTTGGTCATGTCACTTAGTACTACGGTCTAGTGATATTCCTTTTCACTTGTAAGTGAGAGGTCCTAGATTTGATTCTCGCCAAAGGTGAAGTTGAACCACATTATTATGGCAAGCTCATTGTGAAGCTTAGCCCACTCCCCCACCCCTTAGTGTAGATACTATCATTTGTATGGAAAAAAAATTGCATTTGGTCCTCACATGTCCTAAAAATGAGGACCTTAGGAGAGCAGTACTCCCATGCAGCTTCCCAAAAAGTAGTAGTCGGATGATCAGAATGAATGTGGCGAAGCTGAAACTCCATTGCTCGATCAGAGGTCTGAGATTTGAATATTTGAAATTTGATGAGCAAGAGAAAAATGAGAGATGTGAGATCGCTGGAAGATTGAAATGAATGAATGAGAGATTTGAGATCGTTGGAACATTGAAGAAAATGAATGAGAGAGAAGAGAGTGAGCACGAGAGGATTGAATGAAAGAAATAAGGGCAGGTAGTATGACACACCTGGACCCAGATTCCAGTAGGCACCAAAATCAAGGTGTGCGGACCATCATCCAGATGGGTGGCGAAGTCATCATATGCATAAAAGTATAACTAAAATTATCAACTAATAAAATTTATCGAAAATTCAATAGAACTTCCCTTAAAATAGGGATAAACCCAAATTAAAACACTTGCAGAAAATAGCATATCAACATATCCCCATAGGGCCACACTTAGTGGGTCTTTAACCCTTAGTTATATACACAATAATAGTTCAGCGCATAGTTTTTACCAAAAAAAAAAATAGTTCAGCACATAGTTGTCTAATACCAGTTTACGGATAACGCTGATTAGATAACCTACTCGATAAGGATGTGTAAGCGCCTGGAAGGATGCCTCGACGTCAAAGATGCTCACATTAACTACTATTGATCCCCATATACAATGTGAACTAATCGAAACATATATACATACATACATAAATATATATATATATATATACATATATATTTATATATTGAGCTGATACTTTCCAGTGGCAGCATTCAATATCATCTACTTGCCATAACTAGTGAAAGCTGGATAATATAATCATGTCATTGCTGAGTAGTCTCTAGGCAAAGACAAGCGGAGAATACAATTGTAATTATATCATTTCCGAGAAATCTTGAAGTAATGATAAGCTGAGAATATAACTATGGTACCCAAATGCACATGTAAGCTAATTTGTATAATCATCCACTAGTCGTAGCTAGTGGAAGCTGAAAATGTAATCATCCACTAGTCGTAGCTAGTGGAAGCTGAAAATATAATCATGTCATTACCGAGTAATCTCAAGGTAATGACAAGCTGAAATGACAAGTCCACAATGTGGACAAGCTAGAAATACTCATACACATGCAAGTTGTGTCCTATGACCGTGAACGTGGTACAGTACTTTAAGTCTCTACAGGTTTATGCGTGCCACAAGATAAGTAGTGATGAATCCAACGTTCCTAAAATCATCATCGTCATAAATCATAACTTATAAATATGGTAAAGTCTATCCTAAAATCAAATCATAAAAACATGACATCCCAACTCGGAAACCTGGTACACTATTTAATTTTATGAGTACATTTAACCTTCGAGTTTTGTTCAAATTTTTTTTTGAGTTAGACTGCCTATGTATCCTGTGAATGGATCAAGCCATGATTCCTCTCACTCAATACAATGTAAATCTGTATCGAGTGAAAGAACCCAAGCAAGGATTGTAAAGACTGATTACATAAGCTCAACTCAATTAATTATGAGTGAGTTCTATACTTCATTATATAGGCTTTACAGGATTAGGTGGTTACAATGTATCTATTATCAAGATTACAATGAAATTCAAATTACAAAATACATAAACCGAAAGCTAAGGTACATGGTGATGATAGAGTCATGGTGAAGGAAGACTCTGATTCTTCTCAATTTGTTGAAGACTTCGTGTGTTACCCAAACTGTGATTTGGAGTAGATAAGTGGGAACCATATAATTCGAACTTTGGTTGATGAGTTGACACGGGTTGCTGACCTAGAATACATGTAGGATTAGTAAGTTTATCATCCGGAACCTCCGGCTCTTCTAATGGAGATGAAATTTGTCACTAACATGTCATATATAGGGATAGCTCTTACATTAGTGGAGTTGATTCCACAAACACAATCACGTTTGGTTCTACTACTCGCTAGCCTGTTTCATTCCCACAAACCATTATTGGGTGCGGATACAATAGAGGCAAGTTCCACGAAGAGGCAGCAGTCATGGTCGGCCTTGGACGTGGATCAGAGTCCCTCATCTCCCAAATGTGTTCTTTGATTGGTGGAAAGTTCTCGTACTGCCTAATGCACGAAACAAAACCTAACATAACTGGCAAAATGAAGTTTGGCAGCTCAGCTGTAGATTCTGGTTTTGAGGCGGTATCTACCCCATTGTTTTTAGGAGAACTAAAATCTTACTACTTCGTAAGACTGGAGGCAATGAGCGTGGGATGCACGAAATTGCAATACAACACCACTTTAGCTTCTCGTTAGATGCTTCACCGGGACAAGGTACATGCAACATTATCATCGACGCGTAGGCAACATTATCATCAGACTCTGGGACTACAATGACACTTTTACTAGAAGACTTTTACAATGAGTTGGAATTAACCATGAGTAAGGCTATAATACTAAAACATTTAATTGGTGAGTTCCTCGACCAAGGGCTTTGCTACAACACAACACCGGTTATCAAAGCTCCGATAATCACTGTGCATTTTAATTGTGCAAATGTCAAGTTAAAAGCTTTGAATACCTTCATGAGGATGTCGACGGATATTGTTTGCTTTGCTTTTGCAACGAGTCCGTTAAACGTTTTCATTTTTGGTAACATGGCATAGAGGAATTTCTTGATCAGTTACGACCTCACGAAAGGAACTATCTCCTTTAAGCCTACCGATTGCCCTAAACACTAATTTGTTTGTGCATATATGCTTCAATGTATGATGAATAAAGTTCAATACATTTGAATACTTGAAGATATACACACATGGGAAAATGTTATGCCAATATGGCTTATCTACACTCCCCGCAATCTAGCACCGGTAAGGTGACAAGATTGGACACCGATGTACAAAACAAAATCCTTGATAATCCCTTGGTAAAGACATCGGTAAGTTGATCCAAAGAGGGCAAGAGCCGAACTCGATAACTTCCACAAGCAACATGAACAAAATGATAGTGTCTAAGACAATATGCTTCGTGCATGCATGGAACACCAGGTTAGCTGCCCTATATGTAAGATTTAAATTGTATGTGCATAACGATAGGAATGGGAGGAGGAAACCAGAGCTCGGATAACAATCTTTGAATCCATATTGCATAACACAAGTATAAAGAAGAGTCCAGTATTCCGCTTCAACACTCAAACGGTATAAACAAAATCCAGTTGTCGAATGGAAGTACCAAGGCATCCCGCCATCGGCATTTAAGCCACCAAACGAAGAGGTTAGGCCATCTCTAACCAGGCTGGCCAAAAGATAACTTGTTTTGACACAAAATCCATCTCCAATGGAGGTTTGGACCAAAAAACCTTGGGACTCACCGAGCCAAGATCCAACCTTATGGTCTGAGGGTTGGGCAAGCATAGCCAACCAGCCAACCCATTCTGTTGGGGCCAGCTATGCTTCCAATGGTAACATGACGTCATTTTATTTCAATTATTCACATTACATTCACCTCAAACACTATTTTCATACACACCCCTCTCTTACCTCTGCTAATAATCTTTCCTTTAATTTTTTCAATAATTTGCAACTGGCCAAATCTTCAACCAAAGGAAAGGCTTGGACCCGAAAAGGAGATGAAGCTCTTTGCAAGGCATAAAGATGGGTCTTGGAAGATAGTGTCAATGGTATTTTTAAACAAATGAAGGCATTTAGACTCGTACGTCTAAAAAGTACTATAAGTTCTATGAAGGCAACACTTCACCGAACCCCAAAACCACGAGAGTTGTTCTTCACAATGGAAAAAAAAACTTCATCCAAGGTTGAATAAATGGCATCAAGCCTTGAAAATGGCCGAAATGAGACATGAAAGCAAAGCCAATCTATACGACGAAGTAAGTGTTTTAACAAGTTGTTTCAAATATTTAATTATATTACATTTAATTCTATAAATTAATTTCCTTTAATTTTTGTAATTATATTTTCTAGGGACGTCGAGCGGAGCAATTGTAT